TTATTATGAAGTTGTAATCTACAACATTTGCAAATCCTGAAATGAACGATGACTCAATCAAATCATTTTCAATGCCAAAGAGATCAGACAAACACAAACAAGATTGACCTGGTTAGCAATTTGATATTTCAACATTTATGTGTCGAGGCCACTGATTTGTAAATTGGTATAAATTCTTCAGAAATGGGCACTTTTTTCCCTGTAAAAATACCCATCATTTGGCAACCATAGTGTCATTTTCCATGAAGAGAATGTAGGGACTGATTATCCAGAGTGCTGCCGTGACAAGGTAACCCAACCAAATAGCTGGGAAATTGTATGTTATTATACAGCATCACATGGGCTCTGGGCTGAGCACAGCCGTTAGAATTAGGCCACGGCATTCTGATCATTCCATGCCTGGAAGCCCTGGGTACCCCCTAAACCTTCACATGTGGGGGCTGCCGAGGGGCCTGCGGCTAAAACTACGCGTAGAGTCTTCTAGCACAGAAGAGGAGCAGCTAACCCCCAGCGGCTAACCTTTGAGGGGACTGTGCACAGGGGGGTGCTGTCACCCTGCCCACCCACGTGCCATCAGCACTGTTCTCTTCACCCTAAAGCACAGCACAAAGTCACACCCGCCCCTGATTTCACAATGCAGCAATGTGTGCGGTTAATCAACATCCTTCACGTATGTGATGTGCAGAGCAGGGTGTCGTTTTGGGCTTTTGCTTTATTTGCATTGTTTCTGTCATTATTGGTATTGTTCCGAAGACTAGAGAAGTTAGGGGAGGAAGGAGATGGAGGGAGAAGCGAAGAAAGCGACTCCCCCTTTTGAGAAGTCGGTCGTCCAACCAGGAAGAGCAAACCCAACTGGAGATGCTTGTGGACAATAGGCAGTACTGGCCCGTGCAGAAGCACCAGTGCGTAAATGGAATCCACGACCGTGGGTGCTAGGAGGCTCGGGCACCATCAAAGTACCCTTGGTCATCAGAGGGCCGAATGGCATCAAATGAAAGGAAGAAGCGAGGGAAACCTGGGCCCAAGATGGTCATCAGGAACATACTGGGAATAGAACGGGGCCCTTTTCCCAGGAATCAGTCATGTCCCTGTGCCCGTCTTCTCTGTAGGGTACTAGATTTTTAAGCAGACCTTGCAAGGAAGGCTGAATGGCTGAATTCCACTCACTGTTATTAATTGCCGTCCACGGGTTGTGGGGGAGCTGTGTTCTGAATCAGGGTGAGGATTTTAGATTGTTTTTAGGAGCTTGGGGACATGACGCCAAGCAGGATCAATTCCTGTCACTCACACACAAATACAGGATAATGGATTAGGGTAGAGCCACAGTGCTTTAATCTTAAAATCAACGTAGAAAGGAAGTTGAACTTGTGGGGATTCTGTGGAGACTGTAATTTGGGTTCCTATGAGGTTTGCCTTACAAAATATAATGGTTCCTTCCTCTTCTGATTATTTCCTGGGAGAGGGGAGGAAAGGAGGGGAAAAGAAGACAAGAAACCTTTGCCACCAGTGATGTGAATGAGCATGCGGGTGGGACTCAGAGCGCAGGTGGGACTCAGAGCGCGAGTGGGACTTGGAGCATGAGCTCATCTCTCAGTGTTGAGGAAAGCTCTGTCTCTGTATCTGTGCTGTTTTTAGCAAAACAAACAACCCAGGAACCTGAACCCTGTACCCCTCATCTGTGTTGAAGCATAATAAAATGCCTGTGATTCCCCATGGTTCACTGTCGCTGGAAAACGCTTTGTTCAACATTGGCTTCTGTGGCTAAGGCGGCCATATTATAGGGCATTTCCTAGAAATACATATTCAACAAACCAGTTATTGATCAAAGGATTCCCGGCTGCTCAGCATGTGATTAATGTTTACTCCAATGTAATTCTGCTCTTTTTGAAAGAGGCCTGAGCTAAGAGTTTAAGCTGTCTAGTCTTCTCTTAATGAAAGATTGAGATTTTACTGAACAGGCCTCTTTTCAGATGTAACACTGATTTGCTGTATAGTATTGTCAGTCTCTCCACCACTCATCTGCCAGTTTGTCGTACTGTGGTGGCTTGAGTATTGTTGTAAGGCTGGAGGCTATGCCACTGGTATTTCGAATCCCAGCAGGGTCACCCATGGTGGACAGGGTTCAGCGGAGCTTCCAGACTAAGACAGACTGGGAAGAAGGAAGGGGCCATCCACTTCTCAAAGAATTGACTGGTGAAAACTGTGAATAGCAGTGAAATAATACCTGATATATTACTGGAAAACTTTATGAATAGCCCTGAAACACCATACACAGTGGCTGCAACAATGGGCTCAGGTGTAGCAAGGATTGTGAGGCTGGCACAGGACCAG